GGGGGGATTTACAGGGGATTGAATCCAGGGTAACTTTACCACTGAGCTACACTCCAGCTCTTTTTTAAATTTTGTGAAAAGATCTCTCTGTATTGCTTAGGCTGGCTTTGAACTTCTGCAATCCTTCTGCCTCAGCCTCCTGTGGTATTATAGGTGTGTGCCACCTCACTGACTAAACCTCTCTTTTTGAGAAGCTGTATTCATAGTTATGCTGTACAGCCCATTATGATATTTGCACCATAATTACCTAGTTAAATCTCCATCTTGATTACCTAGGACTCTGAATATCTTAATCAGAGAGACAGTACTTTATCTATCTTTATCTTTACCCTCTAGTGCAACAAGCTAATTGCTAGTGCAACAAGCTAATTGCTAATTGAAAGTTGTATTAAATGAATACATCAGCAATGTAATAGATTTGTTTTATCAGTGTAGAGGAAGAAGACTAGGGGGAGAGAGGAGAGAGAGAAAAGATACTGGAGAATGATATTGACTAAATTATATTATTATATTGTGTGCATGTAAGAATGTGTAAAAATGAATCAAAATATTACATATAATTATAATGCACCAATTAAAATATAGAAAAATTATTCTGGTTATGACCCCTGAACTAAAAAACAAGGATGTGATTCTTTTTAATTCTGTTTTGCTAGATGGGTAGACATTTGTGCAACCAATGATATGTAGGTATCACATTGTATAAATATCATGGAAAATTTACTGTATTCCATTGTTTGTATTACTTTTTTTTGTACTAGTCTCTATATCTCTTTACAAAGGAAGTTGAACATTTGTTTTTATTCATGTGCCAAAAGATATTTATATAAATGTTCATATCAACATGGCAAGATAGGTATGTTTCCACTTTACAAATAGGCCTCTGAATCCCAAAAGGCCATTGCTTCCCACTCTGCTCCAGTTCTCCCCATTCCCCTTGGCTACTAGACTTTGGCCAACATGGTAAAAACTGGAAGTGGACACAACTGGACCATCTCTCAGATACTAAGACAGAAGGGTGGTATGCAATAGAGGGTCCAAGGACAAGCCAGATTCAACCTCTGTCTTGTCTGGAATTTACCTACACATCGTTTCAGGCTTCTCCAGTCAAAATAATTTGGTGTCAGCAAAACCTGGTCTCACCAATTCTGTCTAGAAGACATCTGAACTTTACAAGATGACTTCAACAGGGCAGAAAGAGTCATTGTTGCCACAGTCAAGACAGGGTATGAAGAAGAAACTCAGCTCTTGGAATATCTGTTTAACTTTAAATCTTTCATATAGGCTTTCCGATCTCATCACCATCTAGGTGATATAAAGCTCTCCATAAGCATCTTCAAGTTAAGTAAGGGAGATAAATTTAATGGCTTCAGGGTGGTTCCTGCTTCAGGCCCTCCTTGGTTTGACTTTCTAGTTGAATGGGGCAGGGACATGGAGAACACTCAGTGTGCTCTTTGCTGGTCGGAGACATGGAGGATATGAGTATGGCTCACATGTTTTAAGGGAAACAACTGTGGGTAGGTTCTGCTTGAGTTGATTCTTAGGCAATGGAGCCAAGGAGTATGTTGGATCAATTTAGATTTGGGCATCTCAAAGCATGGAACATAAGTGAGCAGGACAGGGAAGCCAGCCTGGTATGAGTCATTTGGGATAATAGGAAGTTCTAGGTCATGTAAACTAAACAAGGAAATAAATTGGCCACCAGATAGATATCCAAGAGGCACAAAGTAGATGAATACAGGACATAATGTATTGACTAGTTTCTAGGAGTTGCCTAAAACAAATGAACAAATAAAAGTCCTACTTCATACCCTTGCTATGTAGCATGTGGTTGACCTCACAATTCTTTTTCAGTGTAATAAAACTCAAACTGAATTTTTAATAGAAAAATCAATTAATTCTGAATTCTATCTTGATAAATCAACAGAAAGCAAATTCAAAATAGAACTTAATGATTGCCTTTCTATCTGAAGTTGAAATACATACCTTTACAAAAACAACCCTTTATAGTGGTTTTATTTTGGTCTGACTCCGAAGGTAATTGAGAAGAAATTTTTAGGGTATTCTTAAATGATTTGTCTTGATTTATCTCTCATACTGATATTTAGTCTAGTAATATTTATGCAAATATTATTTTCTGATGCTTTGTCTGAAGTTAAATCCAGAGGAGAAAAAGATATCACATCAAAATAGAAAAGAATAAATGAGATTAGACAGGCTACCTTATGGATGGTTATTACCGTAGTTTAATATCTTCCACAAAGTTTTCTGGTATTAATTAAGGACATTCATTATTTGTTACTCTGAGGCACATAGTTTAACTTCATTAAGGGAGAAGTTACTGGGTATAGTAACTGTATACAGATCCAGTGTTCCATTAAAAATATCAATTGATTTGAATTTGAGCCATATAAAATGTTAGACTGTGCAAATCATCAATAGGTTATTAATATGTTTCAAAAAAGAAAAATTAGGGCAGGAATAACATTTTAACTTATATTTTCCCTATAAAGCCAAAAGTTATAAGCAGCTTACTGCCATGAAAAGACTGCTTTATTGCAGTGTTTTTTTCTTCAAGTGTTTATAGCAGCATCAAACACCTCAAATATCAAATATCAAGCATGAATGGAAAAAAGATGCCATATTTGAAAAAATGATCAAGTTTGATTCCCTGTTTCTCTGGTGCTGAGGATTCACTCCAGGACTTTGTACATGCTGGGCAAGAGCTCTCTTAATGAGGTACATCCTGCCCAACAATTCTTGCCCCTTTTTAAAAAATAAATTTGTTTTTGAGACAGGTTCTCTAAGTTGCCAAGGCTGGCCTTGAACTTGTGATCCTCCTGTCTCAGCCTCCCAAGTAACCAAATTACAGGTGTGTACTAATGCACAGTTTCATAAATTAAATATTACACTATTAAATTGGGTCATCTTAACCAAAGTGCCATGTTTCTTTAACTAATTCATGCAGCCATTGTGGGACATATGATGGGGGGTGAAACAGTCTTTTCCTTGCTTTCTCAGGGCATCCCTGACTTGCTAAAAGTCAGAATGTAGATTTGTGAGAACCTTGCAGTTTTCTTACCACAGGTCTGTGGACATCCCAGAATGCTCTCTCTTGGCTATCAAGGATCTTCCTTTCAATTTTGTCTCTCTTCTTGTCCACTCTGTTGACATCAAAACAATAAAGAATAAGTAGTGATAAGTGCAGTGCCCCTCTGGACAAAAGGCCACAACTTGAACAAATTTTCCAAAAGACTCACAAGGACTCACTTTGCTTGTGCTTCTGCTTGCATAAATATAAACTCCCACTTCCTTGCAAATGCTCTCTGCAACCGGGCCAGGCTCTCCTGAAAAATATCCCACAGATGAAGAAGATTTGTTGCTCACCTGTACTACCCTATCTAGTTTATTTATCATATGTTTATGAAAAAGACAAATATAGAATTTCTCTATGTGTACTCTGGTTCTGAATGACAAGTCATGCTCATCAAATCAGTCAATCCTCATATTGTCTTGGAGGAAACAGAACAAAAAAATAATATTAACTTTTAAGAATGACTGACTTTAGATAATACAACTATAAATCCAATATGTGTCTGCAAAATAGTGAAATTACCTTGTATGAGAAAAGTGTTCCAGATGAATCCACTGGATTTTTCTGTGTTCATTTTATGGAGAAACAGGAAAACAATTCATTCCTAGCCCAGATTTAGTTTATTCTTGTCCTAACAATAAATGTAGACCCTTGGCAGCCCAGTACTTATTTCTACTCAATGATTTGAAGTTCATCAATCACAACACAGTAACCATTTGAACAAATTATATCAGGTTAATTTTATCTGCTGCTAGCAAACACCCTGTTTTTTGCAATAAAAAACATGTTCCTAATATAAATGGTCTTTAATTCTCAGAGTTTGGATATCTTTGCGTTAGTATTTATTTGAAATATTTACAGGTAAATCAATTTTAGAAAATAAAATATGTTTCTCTCTTCTACATTGAATTTGTGTATTTGGAATTTCACTGTCCTTGATGTGGATGAAGAGAGGAAGCAAGCAAACAGGGATTTATGAAGGAATTTGCTGCCTGATCCACAGAAATCTGATCCTTAAGATACATGAATGTATGGGGCTAGAGCTGTGGCCCAGTGGTAAGAGCACTTGTCTAGCATGTGTGAGGCCTGAGTTTGATTCTCAGCACTGCATATAAATAAATGAATAAAATAAAGGTCCATCAACATCTAAAAAAAAAAAAAAGATCCATGAATGTAGAAAGTTACTGGAGTACTCAGAAATGACCATAGGTTTTGTTCCTGCCCATTTTATACCTTTTTTTTTTTTAATTGCTAGAAAGTCCTTGGTACTTACAGCTTCATAATCTGCAAGTTCTAGTCTTGCCTTATTTTGCATTGTTCTTTTGCAGAGGTAAACAGCTGAAAGACAAACAAAAAAAATCATATTTTGGTTGCTTATTAAAATTGACTGCTATAAAAATATGGCATTAAAATTTCAGACACTTGTCACTTTTTCCCCAAGTTATAATTTTCTATTATCTCATTTTAGACAAACAACTAGAATACATTACTGAAATCCAGTTTGATTTATGATGCCATAATTGAAAATACCTGTTAAGAAACCTGGTAACCATCATTTCCTTATTTTTACTAAGTTGTGTCATAATGTTATCCTCAACCAGGAAGGGGGGAAGAAACTGAAAAGCAACATCAAATGAACTTAAAAAATCTAGATATACAAACAAAACCATTTCATAAGAATGAACTGTATAAAGAGGGAATCATGACTGGCACATTCAATTAGTTGCAGATTCTACTGTCAACCACAAGGCTCTGTTAGTGTAAACTAAGGAGGATTTCTTCATATTCTTCTTCTTCTTCTTTTTTTTTTTTTTAACACAGAGACTGGAACCCAATGAGAGGCAATGGCTCTACCACTGAGCCACAACCCCACCCAATTTAAGGCTTCTTGGCACTTCTGTTGTTCCAATCCACATCATTCAATTGTTTTGTTGCTAAGTGAAGGAGAGTAGAACATTTTACCTACCAAAAATAAGCTACCACTTCACTCCAGTCCCCTGAGGACTCAGTTTCCTGGGCTGCCATGTAAAGTCCATTCTGGCAGCAGATTTATAGAAGAAGTGACAGAAGGAAGAAAGAATGATGATAGCAGCATTGCTTTGAGCAAAGTTCTTCAGTTATTTTAAGGTATTCTGGTGACTCTCCTCATAATATCAATACATTGGGGTCCTCACCAGTCCCAATTTCCAGCATTTTCTTTTATCATTTTTTCCATTAAGTATGATATTTGAGTCTCATGAAGTTCAAGATTGTATTATACTAGATTCTGAATAAATCCACTAGATGAGGCCTGTCCAATATTACCTTCCATAAGGCTAGCTCTGCAGGATGTCTTATAAATACCACCTCGGCAAGAAAGCTGTATTGGCCTTAGTTTTGAATAAGGAAGTCCAGCGGGTAACACTGAGGAAAAATGTTACACGGAAAATCTGAAACCACTGCAAACATGGATGTTATTTACTCAACGGTCTGTCCCTTAAGATTTCTTGTGTGAAGGTCAAGGCAAACACTGAATGATGTGAACTTTGCTACAAATGCGAAGAATCCAGTGCATGATTTTAGAACACATCATTCATCATTTACCATAGTAATTTTATTTTATTTATTTTTTTTTTTACTAATGTCAGTAATTTTCAAAAGTTAAATTTCAAAACCAAAAGACACATGATATGTTAATTTTCTAATTGGTCATAATTTAAGCTCCCTCCCAGGGGAACTCTTTCTCTAAAAGCCACTGTGACTTTAATAAAATAACTCAGACATTCTCAGCAGCAGTTAAAAGAAATTATAGTATACATGCACTACCCTTGAGGGTGGCTCTTCATTAGAAAAAAGATCAAATCTCCTTAAATAATTTCCAATTAAACAATTTCAACGTTCCTGTAGAATTACCTTTAATCAAATTCAAGCCCAGCTAAGCCCTTCATCAACCAGACCTCTTCTCCGTCTCATTCTGCCTCAGGTTTTTCCTGCTTTATTTGTTCTGGTCATTCAAGTTCTGTTGTTTCCAAAATCAGTCCCCTTTGGCAAATGTATGTCTAACCTCATTAGGTAAACTAAGAAGTTATAGCAGAAGTGCTTTAAGTTTTTTTCCAGATGATTGCTCACAAAGAAGTTATGAATTCTTTATTAAGGTTTCCTATAATACAATTTTTAAAAATTTCTAGGAAACAAAATCAAAGTATGGACAGCCATTGTCAGGCACAGAGTAAAGGTTTCATATAGATCTGCTGAATAAGTAAATGAATAGGATATTTTCAGAAGGAGCTATTTAGATGTCAAATTAAATCAAGTGATAAAAGTCTCCCTAAGTGTCCAGAGGGAAAGATTAAAGTCTAAGTTAGCAGAGTAAAGAATAATCTGGATACTTCTGAAGGTATAGCAAATCCAGTCATGGCTGGATAGGCCCAAGCTTCAACAATCAAGTCCAGACTTAATTGCAATATAATGACAAGTACAGATAGTACTTTCATTGCTTGTCGAGAATACCAGCAGTGGGAAGATTTCTAGACAAGGTGAAGATCTAAGTCAATGAAAGAGGGTTCCAATTCCAGGAGATTTCCCAATCCACCAAAGACAGAAAAAAGTGAGAATACTTGAACATGGTCAAAACTAAGGCTCAGGTCAATATTTTTGTTTTGATTCCCACTTATTTAGGCAATGTAAGTGTTTCACATGGTGTTCTGTGTAAATGTAGGGCCATGTACAAAGAATGAGTCTTTCCAAAAAAATATTGCAATATTTTCTTCTCCACTGATAAATTAAAAAATATGAGCTAAAAAATAGACACTACCTGGGTTATTTAGAATGATTTATATTATTGAAGACTTCATTTCAATTCCAAGTTTAAATATATCTTCCTGAAGTAATTTTCTGGGACACCATAAGGAGATAATTTGGAGGACTTATGTATAACAATTACTTAGTATATAACAAGTAATTGAGATAGAGGCTCTGCCACAAAGTGAGAGAAAGTTTGAGAAGGCTTGAAGTGTTACTCTGGTTAAAATAGCTATGTGGTAAAGGCATAGAATTTGGCCCTAATGCAACTTAGAATTTAGATGGAAAAGCTAAAGCTTTTGAATCAGGTCTGTAATAAGGAGTGGATTAGAAAATAAATGCTGGCATTTGGTTTTCCTGTAGTTTCTACAAGGTAGAGCACTCACATTCATGACAGAAGTATGTAGAATCAAACCTAGATCACAGATCAGCAAGCACCTCAATATCTAAATACGGAAAAAGACACAAATATATAATTTAAGAAGATTAGAAATACAAATGCCAAAAGAGTACTTGGAAATTTTACAACTTATAACCCCAATTCCTTCTATTATTTTTAATATAGAAGGAATATGTATTATTTAGTTGATTATGAATATAATTAATTATATATTAATTAGAATTAATACAATTTATTTAATTATAAAAGTGGTATTCATTGTGATATATTCTATGCGAACGTAGCATAATTTGGTCAATTTCATTTCCCAGTCCTTCACCAAGCCCTTCTTTTCTTTCTCTCTCTCTCTCTCAATCCCCTTCTCTCTACTCTGTTGATTACCTTTCTATTTTCTTGAGGTCCTTTCTTATTCCATTTTTCCCCCCTCTAACTTCTACAGATCAGAGAAATCATTCAATCCTTGATTCCGTGAGTCTGGCTTAGCATGATGTTTCTCTTAGCATGATGTTCTCCAGTTCTACCAATTTGCCAGCAAATTACCTAATTTTATCTTTTTTTTTAATGCTGAGTAATACTCCATTATGTGTGTGTGTGTTTGTATATGTGTGTGTGTTTGTGTGTGTGTAACACTTCAACCAATGGGCAAATTATCTAAACAGAAATTTTTCAAAAGAAGGAATGCAAATGGCCAACAAATATATGAAAAAAGTTAAATATCCTTAGCAATCAGGGAATCAGGGAAATGTAAATCAAAACTACACAAAAATTTCATATCTTGTTTCAGTTAGAACATTGATCATCAAGACTACAAATAATAATAAATACTGATGAGGATGTTGGAAAAAGGTATATTCATACATTGTTAATGGGACTGCAAATTAGTACAGGCATTTTGGAAATCCGTATGGGGATGCCTCAAAAGACTAGAAATGGAATTACTATATAACCAGCTATTCCTGTCCTTGGTCTTTATCCAAAATAATTAAAATCATCATACTACAATGATATATACGTATCAATGTTTATAGAAGCACAATTCATAACAGCCAAATTATAGAACCAGCCTAGATGCCCATCAACAGATAAATGATTAAAAGATATAATATTTTTAAATTGAGTTGGGTTGCTTTAGGGCCTCACTAATTTGCTAAGGTCTTGAACTTTCAATCCCCCTGCCTCAGCCTCCTAAGTTGCTGAGAGTACAGACATGTGTCATTGTGCCTGGCTAATTGAATACTTTTCTATTTTAACACTCTTCTCCTAAGATTATTTTCCTGCTAATTTCAACTTCTACTTGTATTTGCCTGGTATATCTTTGCCTTCCACTTATTTTAACAGAGTTGGTTTGTTTCACTCGTCTTTCTTTCAGACATATATTCTTAGATTTTATTTATGATGTAACCTAGTATACTTGTTCTTTTTTCTCATTTCTTCATCTCTTTCATTGTATTTCTTTTATTTTTATTTTTTTTTACCATTTTTAAACCAGTGACTTTTCATTAAATCCTACTTTAATAATTCAAAAAACTTCTTGTCATCTTATTAGTAACCAATTTTTTAATCTTTAAATAAATGCTTGAATTTTTATCTCTTGAAATATAACCTCAATAATAAAACACTGCCTAATGTTTCCCTGCATAAATGGTGAAAAAAATAGCATATTTTCACTCCCTCTAATCTTTCTCATATTTTTTAATGAAAACAATTTATTGTATGCTATTATAGTTTTTTAAAATTGATGATAGTATCACATTTTGTTTGGAAACAAATTTTTATCACAATTATTTAGATACTGAAAGGCATGCAGAAAAAGTTGGTATCTTGGAAAATTAAAAACTCTTAGCATGGTTTTCTTTTTAAGCCTAAATTTGTTGAAATGATTCAATAAGGGTTCAAATCATCCAAAAACAGTATCTATTACTTTTTTGGGCTCCGGTCTTATTTCTGGTTTCCTTTGGGATTTTGCTCAATTGTTTGCAGGCTGCTGTACTGGTAAAGTGGACCTGGATAGCAATACTTATAATCCTGGGTTTTCTTTTACACCTATCAACCAGCAGCTGCAACAGTCCTATAACTATAATACTCTTCTCTTACTTGGTACCTTCTACTGGTACATTTGCTGCTAAAAGTCTGAGAACTTATGCTGCTTTAAGAACCA